TTAAACAATGAAAACCGAATTACAGTCTTGTTCAGTACAATATTAATAAATAGATGATTTAATATCGATGATTTGAATAAAGCTTTCAGTAAATTGAATGTATTGGATKRKACAGTTTATTAGAGGGTGCCACGAGGGTCTATCAAGTCTTCCGAGTCATCCTTAWATGCTGAACTAGCATTTGCCTGCGATTTTGTCCGCGTGTATTTCTGATATAAAATGGGAAAAAGCCCGTTCACAAAACCATTCCATAGGCTTAGATACTCTATAAAGCTAAATGATTACCTATGTTATGTATAGGATTCAGTTATAGTAGTCTCGTTCTTCGCATGGACTATGTTTATGGATAAATATTAAATGTTGATTTTCATAAAGTGTCGTCTCAGTGTACTTCTGCACTCTCAAAATTCGWAATTTTATGTTTCTAATTTTGTTTTTAAGCGTTTAAACTCTATTTTATTTCATTAAGATTTGAAAAGTGCATTACTACACTTTCTAGAGAGTGATCATATTTACTAAATTTAATGTTTTTATATCCCTTTAAATGTGTACACCGTTTTATTCCCTTAAAAACTAATTTTCGAAAAATCTGATTTTAGTGCCCCTTTACACCTCTAAAGAATTTTATGTTTATATCTTTGTTTAAACATTTACACCCCATTTAACCCCCTTAAAGATTGATTCTGTCTTTTATCCAAAATTTTTATTTATATCTCCGTTTAAATGTTTACACCAGAGTCACTTTTCAGCCAGACCAGCTTAGTTGGGGAACGCTCTACACATACAAGGTGATTCTTTTAGGGCCTATATTAGAAACTTTTTAACTTCTAATGCAGATAGAAATTTGAAATTTTTTACACAACCCAAATCAACCAGTCTGAGTTCAACTAAATTATTTTCAAAATGGCTGAACTTCCGGAACTACGAGAAATTGGRGCCAACTTTGAAATTTTAAATGGTAACCAATTATTTTTATTGCATTTTTGAATTCTCCTCTCCAAACTGAGTAAAATGTACCTAGTTGTTAATACTTATCTATCATAGTTTTTGACATATGTCAATTTTTTGCTCAAAATTTTCATTTGCAGAGGTTTATTAAAAACATCACAGCTCTTGAACCGTTTGRAATAAGTAAATAATTTTTCTTGCATTTGYTAACCAAAGGTTCGAAGAGTTTCCTAAAATTTTCAAAATTGTCAACTGTCAAATTGCAAAGCTTATATGATTTTTTGAKAATGATATGTAACAAACAGCTATAACTCAGTTTTTTCAAATAAAATGACCCCATTTTCTCAACGGCAATCGAAAGTACATCGATTTGTAGAAGGACTTTTATCAACATGTTCTATATCCATCTCTTACAGTTTCTGAAATAATCACGAAAAACGTGGTTTTGTTTTTTATTTTTATAGTAAATCACGTAGCCTTTGGAAAATGATCAAAACGAATTAAAGATTT